AAAGTGTTTCCCTGGCCTGAGACTTGGTCCTGCGTGGTTTGAGGGTGAGGGGTGGGTTGTGAGGTGGGAACCATGTGAACCACTTTACTGCTTCTTTCAATAAAACTCAGTTGCAACTACCTGGCTTCCTGAAGCTGTCTCCATTCAGGTTACTGTTAATGTGATTGCTTTCCTGCCAGAAGGTGAGAACTGTAAATCTGGTTAACTTTGGTGAGCATCAAGTAGAATCATTAAATGTCTCCTCTTCTGATTCTTGGCTTTTAGAGAATTCTTTTTGGGGATAATCTCTTTTCAAGTAGATTCCTTGATGCCAAACATAAAATTTTAAGTGTGGAGGAAAGACTATTCCATGATATGATTCCTGTCCCATGAGCTGGACCTGGACCAGAACAGAGATTGCTTCCCATAAATCCCCCTTAGAGACTGTCAGATCATAATTGATGTCCTTTCTGAGATAAATCAGGACCCCTCCCCTGCCTCCAGTGACTTGCTCCTTCCTGGAACAGGCCATTGTCCTGATCTGGTCAAGCATGTAAAGTAATTTCTGTACCTGGTATCATTCTTGTATTATTATCCCTGATTATCCCCCCACCCCTTTTAGCCTAAGTAAATTCGCCAGGGTTCCAGGGATCCATTCTGTCTCACAGCCACCCAAGACGGGCCTTGTATGTAAGTTTCCCTTAGTGAATTCTATTAATTACCAGACTGGAGTGGCCAGCCTCTTTCATTGGTATTTTCTTGCCCTTCCCTTAGGGAAGTAGGTTTTCAGTCCCAGGACCTTTCCCTGCATGTACTAACAAGTGTGGGCTGGTTAGATAAAAGCGTGCTGCAGAGGACACTCCTGATGGGTGAACTGACAGAAGGAGAAGGCCAAACACTAAAATCTCTGACACAGAAGGAAGGACAATGTGACATCAGGAAGACCCTGCCTAGCCTCAGGGTGGGGAGGAGGAGTGTTAAACATTCTTTTCTTTTCTTTTCTTTTCTTTTCTTTTCTTTTCTTTTCTTTTCTTTTCTTTTCTTTTCTTTTCTTTTCTTTTCTTTTCTTTTCTTTTCTTTTCTTTTCTTTTCTTTTCTTTTCTTTTCTTTTCTTTTCTTTTCTTTTCTTTTCTTTTCTTTTCTTTTCTTTTTTTCTTTCTTTCTTTCTTTCTTTCTTTCTTTCTTTCCTTTTTTGAGTGAACTAAATCAGAAAAATAGTCCTCTCTGACTTGGAAAATTGGAGCCTTCCATTTAGGAGCTAGAAGGGATTTCAGAGATAATAAAACTAGATTTCAACTTGGGTGCAAACTTTAATTGGAAGTGCCTATTTGGACTGCTGTAGAAGAACTTCTAAGCCAAAACGTAGTTGAATAGTAAGTATGTCTACAGAAGGCATGAGAGAAGTAAGGCTATACATACCTCCCATTTGCCTCCCCTGTTCTATTGTAACCCCTGCTTTCTACAGAGGAACAAGCTGAATCTCAAAAAGGTTAAGTGGCTTTCTCAGGGCTGCCGCTAATTTGTGGCACAGCTGGGAGTAGACCCTAGGTCTCCTTGCTTCCCAGTCATCCTTTCTGCCACTAGAGTCAACTCAAGAAAAAAATTCCGAGTCTTCCTGCTTCCTGCTGTGGACTTGTGGCTCTTCCTGAGCTGGTGGCTCTCACAGATTCCCAGGGTACTTGGCCTGTGAGTCTGTTTAGTTCTTGGCAAAGCTTCCTTACATTTCTTGGACAGACTCAGCTTCTGTCATCACTTAGTCATTTTATTTGTCCCTTTGTTTTACAGCTGTATCTGACTCTAGACAAGGTCATAGGGAGAGGAAGGCCCTACTTCCAACCAGTTTAACTACTTCTGTTATTGTCTTTATATACTACATTTAAAAATGATGGAAGTGGCTATTTTTCTTCTGTAAACTGAATTCTTAGCCCTGGGAACTTCTGTATAAGTAGGAGGGTCTGTAGGTGAGAGCCGACAGACATTCCTACATTTCTGGGGTAATGGGAGTCTCACTCCTTACCAGCGGTGAGGATGCAGGAGGGTGGAGGGTGGAGGGAGAGAAAGAAAACTTTAATTTTTTAGATTTGTTTCCTTTAGATATAATTTTTCTTAAGTTTATCTCACTCTTCTTCCTAAGCTTAAAACTCATCAGTTTTCTTCCTGCCAGTGCTAACATTTTAGTGGAGATTCTAAGAATGCTTACTTGGTGTTCTGCTGCATTTGTATCTGTACATCACCAGAGCTGGTTTCTGGGTCCTTGTACTTTCCGGGTATTAACTGAAAAAATAGAAAGCAAAAATGAGAAGCAATAAGCATTTTTTTTTTAAGATCCAAAGGAATTGCAATTCGGGAGAATAAATTCAGGCAGAAACTCAAATAGTGTTCTCCCTTTATAGGGGCTCAAGTTTTTATGGGAAAAAGGGAGAAAGATGAGGTAAGTTGTATTAAAGAAGTTTATTGGTATTAGATGAGGTAGGGTTAGATTTGTACTTCATGGGTTGGCTTGAGATTCACCTGAAATTGTATTTAATTTGTTGGTTAGCAATCTGGTCATTCTCAAAGTCTAATTTCACCAGTCTTTACAAATAGGATAGTCTTGGCCTTCTTGGAATTATGGTGGCTTGGTTCAGCTTGTAAGATAAAGAAAAATAAGATGTTCAGAGCAGTTCTTCTGTAATGGCTACTTAGGCTCTCTTTTAACTCTATATCCAGTAGTTTGCTTTCTTCCACTTCTGTCATCTGTGACCTGTTTCTTTGTTTCCGCATTTTGGCTGCTTCCCTGTGTTGATAGAGTGGCTTTCTGTGCTAGGTGTCCTATAAGGCCCAGTGGCTCAGCCTCCCCAATTACCTGAGGTGGA